ATGCAAGCATTAGGGTACCAATTTTACTTTTTAATGCTTATTTGGCAGCCACATCCCTCAAAATAAAATGGGTCATATGCCCATAACCCTCTTGGTCTTGAGACTAAACATTTTTCTAAAAGGAAAAAAATGAAGTCTGCACTTATTTTAAAAAGTTGTCAATGCCATTTTTAGTACAAGGACAGTCTTTCTATATTTAAGTAGGAGGAGGATTGCCTTGCTGAGATCAGATAATAACATAACAAATGATGTTAAGTGATAAAATAAATGTTATGTGATAAAATGATGAAATAACAAATCCCACTGTCAACTTTCCAAGTATTGAGAGGCACCAAGGGATTAGGCTAGTTCATGTCATGTTTTTCAGTGCACAGAAGGCTTGCCAAAGATTGGTTTGGGGTGAGGAGGTTAAGATTCAGAGGAGAATTTTTCATTCCAATTTTAGAAATCCAGAAAGGATTTTTCTTTGGGGAGAAGTTTTGTAAAACAGGACAGGGATTCTCCATCGCTGTGTTAGATACTATGATCTCTGTGAATCCCATGGTGTGTATCTAGATTATATTTAAAATGTTTTGCCTGGGATGCATTGGGATGTTGTCATCCTAGAATGTAATGCTTGATACATTTTTATTAGCTGCATCTGAGGCTTGTTGCTGTGTCAATTATGGTACTCCTTACTCACTTTAAATATAAGTTTAAGAATCTTAAAGGTTTTTTTTTTCTTTTCAAATAAAAAGCAAAATGGTGGTTAGAACTTTGATTCTGTAAAGTTATAAATGGACTGTGATTTAGATGGAACTGAAATAAAATTTTGGAATTAATTACAATCCTTCCCATGGGAAAATAGCAATAGCACTTAGACTTATATACCACTTCACAGTGCTTTACAGCCCTCTCCAAGCAGTTTACAGAGTGAGCCTATTGCCCCCGAACAATCTGGGTCCTCATTTTACCCACCTCGGAATGATGAAAGGCTGAGTTAACCTTGAACCTGGTGAGATTCGATCTGCCAAACTGCTGGCAAATGGTGATCAGCAGAAGTAGCCTGCGGTACTGCACTCTAACCACTGCGCCACGGTGGCAAACAAAATGCTTTTGTTTTGAATTCTTTAAAAATATCATAGGATGAGACTTTGAAGGTTAGATACTAAAGGGAGCCAGAGGGAACTGAAGATTTTAGTACAATTAAAGCAGAAAAACACTTAAATTTGACTTACTAATGCAGCATGGAGCAATAGTTTAATATTAGAGGATATCTGTGAATAATGGACTAAAAATGCAATTTTAAGACTCTCTGCCAATTATAGATAGTTAAGATTGTGTTTAAAAGATTATGTGGAAGATGAACCTATTTAACCAGAGAAGACTGAGACTGATCTGAAGGTGGATTTAAAAATGACAGGTTACACGAATGATATGGAAAAAGATGCTACACAGGATATACAAATGCAATTGGTTGATGTCTTAATAATTAAGAGGCAAATACAAAGAACAAATCAAAAGAATGACCTGCATAACTTTTCCATATTGAATTCACAAAGGAGATTTGTTAAAGCTTTGAAAAATTTTATGAGATGAGACAAAGAAAAAAGTGGCAAGAAATCAAACCTGAGGATATTATTAAGGGATTAAATATTAAGATTGTTAAAAGTAAAAGGCAAGAATATTAAAGGTTTATTTGATCAAAATAGATATGTTGTTATCTCTGGTAACCCTGAATGGACTTTTGCTGATCAGGATTGAACAATGAAGCTTTAAGGATATGTTATTATAAATGAAATGAGATATGGGAAAAAGAGATCTTTCTTTGTTTTCTGCTTACTTTCCTATTTTTTCTTTCCATTTTGTTTTCTTAATTTGTATTAATTTTATACTTTTTAATTGTAATACTTAATAAAATAGCTGCATAAAAAGGAAGAAAAATTGATGGGTGGGTAAAGGGTCATTCACAATATTCCCATTGATTGATGTTTCCTTGCCAATGGCTTGTGTGACTAAATTCCTTCTGTATAGCCTTGTTCATGTTCATTACCATGCATTGGCTGAACTTTCCTGTAAAGTATCTCTTTTTTTCTCTGAAACCTGTGTACACACACACTATACTACATTACACTACACACACACACACACACACACAAATCCCAGACTTCCTGTGATTCATTTCCCTCTCTCCCCATCTGAAATGATGGATAAAATTATGATTTATGATAAGTGCAGCTTATTTTAGTGTCAATAGCTGATATACACACGCCATTGTATCATTCTCAGAAATGACGGCACTCACAATACATGAGTGTCTCTGAAGTACTGAGAACATGCTTTGAAACTAGAATTTTATAGCTGTGATTGGCACAATTCTTTTAATTCTTTTAACAGGGTGATGCTGGCCCACTGGGCATACGGGGTGAGGATGGCCCCGAGGGGCTGAAAGGACAGTTGGGACCTACTGGGGAAGCAGGTCCTTCTGGCCTGGCTGGTGAAAAGGTGAGCTTTTGGAAAATAGGAAGCTATTTGTCCACTTATTGATCACCCTGGCATTCAACAACTCTCTGGGTATCAGGCAGAGGTCTTTCTCATTATGACCTGATCATAAAAGAAGAAAGAAATCAAACTTAGGATACTTTAGGGCCTTTGCTGTATTATTATGTTATGGTCCCACTGATTAATTGCAACAGGAATTTGTTTAATTCTTTCTCCACTCGCCAGGGATTGTTTAATTTCATCCCTGGGCACATGTAGGCTCTGATCATCTCCTTTTTTCCTGCAGGGCAAATTGGGTGTGCCAGGGTTGCCAGGTTATCCTGGCCGTCAAGGACCCAAGGTAAGCCAGAGGGAAGAACTGAAGGAAAGGAAGAAACCTTGTCCCAACCTATCCCGCCCTGCCCTCAGATCGGATTATTTTTTCACAGGGTTCGACCGGATTCCCAGGGCCCCTAGGCCTCATTGGAGAAAAAGGCAAACGGGTGAGTGAAACCGGGAGAGAAATGGGAAATATCCCTTGAAAAAACCCATGAGAGGTTTTTTGCAGATTACAAGGATGGGAGAGGATATGGGAAGAGAGAAAATTCAACAAAAGGGACTGCATTGGAAAAGGAAGTAGGCAAACCTTTTTTTGAAGGTGCCAACTACGGTTTAAGCAAAATGGTTCTCATCTCTTAGAAACTATTTTGCAGTCTCTTCATGAGGAGCAATTGTCAGGAGCAGTTGTGGACAAACTTGAGTTCTCTCCTTGTCCAGAAATGAACAAATGGGACTGCATTGCAGCCTGGATCTTGCTTCCAGTTACAAAATGTAACTGCATCAGGATTTGGAGGACTGTCTGTCCTCTATCCCTTGACACATTTTATTGATTCATTTTATTTGCTACAGCAGTGCTTTTATTTGCTAATGCTCACACTTCAGCATGGATCACAGCAAGGGAGCACAGTCTGAGAAGCAGGATTACCCAATTACCAGCTGTTTTCACTGAAATGAATCTGAGAGAGAAATGGTTCTCTACTTTCAAATATTCCTGTTGAACGTGACTTTCTAGTTTAGATTTAAAAAAATAATCCGGTTTTGTATTTTTTTTAAAAATCTCATGGCACACTTGTTAGGAAAAATGCTAGCAACCATAACCAAGGGATATAAAATAGACATTTTCCTTAATTTTAGGCAAATTTAATTGAACTTTATAGTTTAAGTGTCCAAATGTTTAGTATTTGGCAGATATGTTTATAACAGTGCTTAGCATTTTATTGTACATTTTAAATTTAGACATACATTGGTTCTTCTGTTAATGGACAATGGTGGACATTTAAGTCTAAACTAGAGGTGACATGTGAGATAAGGAGACATCTGAGCATCTCTCTGTAATGTCCCATTTAAGCCTGGTAACTCTCTGTGTTGGCTCACTGAGCTCCACCTTACCCTCCTTTTCTGTTTTCCTTCTTTTCAAGGGAAAAGCTGGCCAGGCAGGACAGACTGGACAGCGTGGTCCTCCGGTGAGCTTTCATAGAATAGATGCTTATAAAGTCCCAAGGTTTCTCCAAAGAGACTTTATTTAATGCTTATTAACCAATATGTATGCTGGCTAGAAGAGGTCCTGTGTTAAAATTTCACATTATCTCTCTCCACTTCCCATAACTGAAGAACAAATTACAAGGATGCAAACATCCTGATGAGAATATTGAGACAATGAAAAAGGGATATAATGAAAGTGCAGCGCTCTAAGCCCATCATATTCCTTATATGATGTAGTGAGTAGTCCTGGGGAGCTGCAGCATCTTTTCTGTCTTTCACAGGTCATATTAAGTGTTTGTAATGTTGTTCTTGGCTCTGAACAGAGTAAAGGAGGTCTTATATTTTCTGGAAACCCATTCTAAGGACACTGCTTCCTGTGAATCCAGTTATTGTAAAAATACTTCTGATTATCACAAGATACTAATGGCTTAAGTGAAAAGCAAAGAGAAGGAGCATCACCTTAATTTTGAAAAGTAATATGTGACTGACTCAATTAAAAATCATAGTTGTTGAACCACCCATGTTTGTGTGTCTGAAGGATGGGAGAAGTATCTCTTTGAATTTCACATATCTGGAGAGTGCACTTTGTTGCAACTACCCTACCCTTCGCAAAAATATGATGGTTAAACTAAATTTTCATTAATATTTCTTATCTCTTCCCTTTCTCCCATAATATGCCAATGAATATAGTAGCCACTTGGGGCATATCCATTACAAAGCTCAAATTAATTCAATTAAATTAAATCTTAATTCAGATCTTCCAAATCTGAATTTGCTTGCAGAGATTTGAATGTATATTCTGATTTGTATGCCCTCACTTAGAATTCTAATTATATTATTAATATTTCTATAGATGGAAAAATCAGGGAGAGGGGAGAAAACAGAAGAATGTGTTAAGGTTAAATGGACTATCCCAATGGGCTGCTCAAGCCAGAAAGCAGCAAAAGAAAACTTCATAGATATAAAAGTTATTGAAATATCACACACATCCCCCCAAATTAAATTTGGGGTTTAAACCCTTAATTTTATTCCTTTTTGCACTGCATGTTTCACTGGAATGAAATGAACCAGATGGTAGTTGTGAAAAGGTGAAACCTTGCCTTTAAACTGGGTCATCTGTCTTCAGTCCATAGATAATTTCTCCAGACTTGAATTTGTTTCCTTTTCCTTCTTGGTTCATTCTGTAGGTAGATGACATGTGCATGTGACTGAATCATTGCAAAAAACAGAGATGTTACTTATAGTGTTATCGCTCTCTACTCTACTTCTACTTGGAACACAATTGCTGAAGTAAGAGTGAGGGGATGCTGAATTCTGGAAAGCACCCAGGGCTTAGCTGCTTAATAAATAACCCATATACTAATGGTAATCCATTTTTGTTCTGGGATCTAGGAAGCCTGGTTCAGCTCCAGACTTCAGTTTATAAACACAATCTGAAACTAATATCCTTTCCCATTTTAGGGTATTCCTGGTGAACGTGGTTTGCCAGGACCTACAGGGAAACCGGGATCAAAGGTATGCCTGTTTTCTGTATGATGTATATGGCCTTCTACATTTCTCCATGCACAGTGCAGGATATGTGTAATCAGCTGTGGCCAGTGCACTTTCAAAAATGCACAGCCCTGTTCATCGTTTGCTGTCTCAAAAAAATATTTTTAAAATTTGCTTATTCTTGGATTATGTCAAATGTATTATTAAACTATACTCTTGGGCATATATTGTAGATCTAGCTGTCTTCATCCTTACTTATCACTTTTTGCAAAATTATGTCACTCCATTAGAACTGAAGTTGTCATTATGCATTAAATCAAGCTAGATAAGGCACTATAGGTAACTAAATTATATTGTACAAAAACATGGTTTAGATTGCTCAGATTGTGCACTTTTCATCCAGAGTTGCATGATTTCATTCTTAAATGATCCCACACATTAAGACTAACAGTATTGGCAAAACCATCCTAAAACCTCCACAAACAGAACTAATAAAACACAAATTTCTTTGTCTGTTGGAATTTTAGAATATTATCCCATACTAATGCTAATATTAGAATTAGTATGGGAGAGGCTGATAGATGTATCTTATTTATAAAATCTATCATCTACTATCTACTTTCTAAGTACTTTCAATTTTCCTATAAACAGAAACTTTTGCAGTGTAACTTTACCCGATACTGTCCAAAATGTTATTTTAGGAACTCTGCATCATGTGATTTACCTGACTTTGTAGATGAATAGTAAAACTCCTAGGCTATTTGCATTTGTGTTATGCTGGTTTTTGTTCCTGCTGCTTTGTCAGCCCTTGATGTTAACTGTAATCAAAATCTGGAGAGGAGTGTTTTTTTGGTTGTTGTTCTTTAACTAATGTTTCTTCCTCCAGGGTGACTCTGGCCATGATGGTCCCCCAGGGACTATAGGAGAAAAGGTAAGATGAATGATTAAATCCCTGCAAATGAAGGACATCTGTGGTCAGCAATCTTTGCTCTTCCTCTGGTAAAAGTGTGTCTCAGGAAGAGAAGTTATGGCATCATAAAGGCCATGATATTTCTGAGGCTGTTGAAACCATGGGCATGTCTTCATGGACCCAACAGTCCTAGAAATAGCATAGCCTTTATGATGTCACAGGTTCTTTTCCTGAGATACACTTTTGCCAAAGCAAAAATCTCCGCATAAATGGTTCCTTTATAGTCTATGGGAAGAAGAACTAACTTCAGAAATTTAAATACTTACAATGTGATAAAATGTGAGAGTGGGGAAAGCAGAATAGGAAGCTAAAATATATTAAAGTATTTTTTCTTTTCCCACAGGGTCCCACTGGGCCACAGGGGTCCAATGGATTCCCAGGATCAAAGGGACCACCAGTAAGTAACCCACTGTTCCTTTTGCAAAAATTTCTGTTTTAACTAGATGTAGGAAGAGGTAAAGATCAATATCCCATAAAATAGTTGTGTATGAGAGAGCGGATTGTATTTTTATTATTACAATCTAGCTAATAAAAATTTATTGTTTGAATTATGCATGGGGAGAATGCAAAGCCCAAGTTAAAAATAGGTTGTGTATTCAAAGACTTAAGTAAGCAATAGACTTACTGTTCATTACAGGACACCTATAAGTAAATATACTGGTATGTGCAGAATTTCAGTCTTGGTGGTATTATATTTTTACTTGCAAAATGGAAGAGCTTGGGTCTACTTTGCTGCAAAATGGTGGTTTGGATAATTGGTTGTTGACACAGTAGCGATTATAAGGTTCGATATCTGCCTGTCTGGGACTAGAATTGCTTTTGTAAGGTATACAGGATACATACAACTTCAGATACCTAAAAGATTACCACCACTGTCAGATTTTGCAAAATCCAAAGAATGGCATTTGAGTTAAGGAAACATGTTTGAATCCTGTTCCTTTATTATTTTGTTGCCAGGGGCACTCATTTTGACCAAATTAGTTTTACCTAAAACATGTTAATTGCATAAAGAAGATGAAATAGCATAAAAATGTGGGGCATATTTCTATCATAACAGTTTAATAGCTTGACATATTCTTTTAAAGCTGCCTGGAGGGGACCAGGTGGTAAAATTTATTATTAGATCTTCTTTAATCTTCTCTTCTTTTCAGAGCTATCTTATTCCCATCTCAGTCCCAGTAGGGGAGCTCTGGAGGGCAGTCGTCATATTTCAATTTCTTCTCCCATGTTCATGATCAGAACACTTCAAAAAATGTAATCCTTGTTTGCTTTTTGAGCACATGTGATATAGATTTCACAAGCCCACATTTCCCAACCTTTTTTTATTATATTGAAATCTTAAAACAATTTTATTAGGTCTAGCTCAGCATGGTTATCCATCTATACTGCATTGTGAAATACATTTATTTAAACAGTAGCACAATAGAATTTACAGAGCCTTTGCAATTTTAAGGCAGACCAAGTCTTCATCCATAAACCCAATACAGATTTTCGTTCAAAGGGTACAGTGTATGTATGTATATGTATATGTATATGTATATTGTATTTTTGTGTATGTGTGTGTGTGTGTGTGTAGGTCTTTGGTTATTCGGGTTTTCTCCCGCGTAAAATTGGATTTTTTTACGTGGGAGAAAACCCGAATAACCAAAGACCTACATACAAATACCCGCGAAAACCTCAGAAAACAAATATCTTACCTCTATGGGGAGGAAATCCACCATCTCATTAGGACCTATGAAAAACTTGAAGTCCAAAGAGTTTCCATTTTATGTGACCTCACATTCCTATGCAACTGCCGAGATCAAAATTTAATCCCCACTTGCTTCCAATTGAAATTCCACTCCAACTCTGCAGCCACCAAACGCATCCTGAAAAAAGCTGAATTGGCCCTAATGAGAAATGAACTTCTCCAATTTTACGCAGGAGAAAACCCGAATAACCAAAGACCTACATACAAACACCCGCGAAAACCTCAGAAAACAATATATTTGTTCAATAATCTTCGCGGGTGTTTGTATGTAGGTCTTTGGTTATTCGGGTTTTCTCCCGCATAAAATGGGAAGTGTCTTGGTGACGTTTCGATGAAGTCTCATTTGTCTTCTTCAGACTGGTGTTTTCGGCTTCATGCTCCTAGAAGCACAAAGCCAAAAACACCAGCCTGAAGATGATGAATGAGACTTCGTCGAAACGTCGCCAAGACACTTCCAATTTTATGCGGGAGAAAACCTGAATAACCAAAGACCTACATATGTATGTATGTGTGTGTATATATATATATATATACACACACATATATATATAGTGCTTTACAGCCCCTCTCTAAGTGGTTTTACAGAGTCAGCATATTGTCTGCCAACAATCTGGGTCCTCATTTTACCCATCTCGGAAGAATGGAAGGCTGAGTCAACCTTGAGCCGGTGAGACCTGAACTGCCAAACTGCTGGCAGCCGGTGATCAGCGGAAATAGCCTGCAGTACTGCATTCTAACCACTGCTCCATCACAGCTGAAGACATACAATTACATGCTTGGGATAGACAAATGTAATAGACAGAAATGCGAACAAAGATAGCAGTGGTTCTACCTCCTAATTTTGCCCATGCTAAAAGAATCTGACAGTTTTTAATGGGAAATCTTCACCACACCCTCATTCTCCTGCAAGACTTCCTGCCATCCAATCTTATCTTTGTCCTTTTTTTTAAGGCAACTGGTGAACCTCTAAACATACTGCTGAGCTGCAGTCATCCACCATTTACATTTTCTAGAACTATGTTTGGGAGTCAGTTATATTCTTGTAAATAAAGATGATATTGGAAACAAGGAAAATTAAAAAAACAAGCACCTCTTGCATTTCTGGAAAGAGAAAGAGAAATTATTGAAAGCCTGTCAGAACAGTTCTCTAAAGTCTAGCGAAGTGTTAGTTACTTTGAGCCTGTTACTCTTTCTCCTGTTCTCCCTCTCTGGGTCAAGGAATCTTTTCAATAATGGCTCAAGTCCCTCTTCCTTCCACAGAAAAGAAAGAAGGTCTGCTTCCTTTTCTGTGTTCCAGGGCCTATTGAATATTTCCTTATAAAAGCTGCCATTTCCTTTATAGTATGCCAGTTTTCCCATTGATTAATTGGTTTAGAAGTAGAAGAGTTACAAATAAATAAATAATGAAGTTAAGTGAGGGAAGGATCCTGACAAGCACCTTATTTAGTGCTTGAACAACTACCACAATCTTTTAAAAAAAACCCACACAATTATTTCTGTTTGTAAGGGTCCTGTAGGAAAAGATGGTCTACCAGGACATCCAGGCCAGCGTGGTGAGCCAGTAAGTATTAATATAAACTTCTCTCAGAGTTGGCTGTTGCCATGTGGTCTGTGGATAACTGCCTCCTTTTTTGTCTTGTTCTCCTTTGCTGATTTCTTGCCTTGGTAATTTGGCTGCTTTCTCTATATTTCCTTAATGGGCTCAGCATTCTATTGTTGACTCTCAAAAATGATTTTCGTTTCTCCATGAGTTGACGGAAAAAATGTCAGTCACACCATTTTGTCTACAAGTTCTAAGGTGATCAGTCCCCAAAACTAAAATAGTCAATTGGGTTTCAGCTGTTGAGCATTGCATTTTGAGCATCCCTAATGCTGAGCATTGCATTTTACTTGTCTTATCTGGTACAACTCTTCATATACATTGGACCAATGCTTGAAATTCCCCAATGAATTTGGTTCATGGTCCCGCTTGATGGAATCCTGAAACTAATCATCCAATATCTGTTTGGGCTCCTGGGATGAATGGACCACGAGGGAGATCGCCATTGGACCAAAATATCTTCATTTTAGATAGTAATCTTTCTTTTTCTTTTCTATAGGGATTTCATGGCAAAACTGGCCCACCGGGGCCAACAGGAGTTGTGGGGCCACAGGTAAAGAGGTTCTTTAGTTTATGTATTCATAGTTAAAATATGAATTCATAATTAAAATTGGACAACCTTGGCTGAGATACTATCCATGTTGCTAAGGTAGCAATAAAACCAATGTGCAAACCTGATGTAGAAAATTAATGATATCTGTTTGAATTTAGTAGATACCATGCATGAAAGATATTCCAGAGTTTCTAGCTACCACAGTAGGACATGCAACATTTCTTAAACAGAGGGCCATATCTGATCTCTGAGTGGGGACCCACTAGTGACAATTGCATGATTATGTTATTGTATGCTTGTTGTCTTGTTGACATCATTTGTTACAGATGCTGCAAAATTAAAGTTAATTAAGTACAATGATTATTTCCTATGTATTTAATATTTAATGCCCCCTCTCCCTTTTCTCACATTAAAAATTACTGGGGATATAATATCCATGCGTTCATCCTCTCCTTCCCAATTCTGAGAATTAAAATAAGTTCTGAACTAGAATTTGGGAAGTAGTAAACATAAGAAAGTAAGTATTAGCCAAACATTAGTTAGTACTTCATAGTAATACAGCTAGCAGCAGTGAAATAGGCTGCTTTGGCAGATAGCTTTTTCCTTCACTGAAGCTGCTTATCTGGCTGGCTTTCTGTAAAGGACATCCTCCACTGAGATCTTTTATTAGCTTCAATGATATTAAGTTTTCCTTCAACTCTTACGAGTTAGTAAATACATGAATACAATAGCTATCTGTTATATATAAAAACATCAGATAGCTTAGTGTGCATATGTCAAGCCTTCAATTCAGTAGTGTTGAAGTAGTAATATATATACAGTATAGTCCATGTATATAGGAAGAAGAAAAGATTATCTTGATTATGCTCTTCTTCGATCAATAAGAAGATGCAATGGAAATATCAGTTGAATTCCTTCAAATGCAAAATGAATGATCTGAAAGATGATCCAGCACAGTACTAATACTTTTATAGTTGTTTCTTATTATAAATTTAACCTGCTCTCAAAAGCATTGTATCTTCTCTACAGGGAAACACAGGAGAAACTGGTCCTATGGGGGAGAGAGGCCACCCAGGCTCCCCTGGTCCTCCTGGAGAACAAGGCCTGCCTGGTATTGCTGGTAGGGAAGGTGCCAAGGTGAGCACTTACAGGTACTGTAGTCATAAAGGATGAGAGCAGGTGAAAAGGAATGGATTTTCCTAAATGTTGCCAAGTGTCCCTAAACCAGAATCAGCATTATCTTAAATGTATTGCCACATGTACATCTCAGAAGAGCTGCATTTCAGTCCTAAGGCAATAACCATTCTGTATTTTTATCATGTTCAATACAAGGATTAAGAGCTTGCTCATGCAACCTTCATTCTACAAAATCCTTTGCAGTGGGACCATAGCAAAGCCACATGCTGATCCATATATTGACTTTGTGTCGGAATGGACAAAAAATTGGCAACTCCAAATCTCAACCAACAAATGCTCTGTCTTACACATTGGCAACAAGAATCAGAACACTAAATACAAGCTAAGTGGACATGACCTTGTTGATGAGTCTGACTCTGTCAAGGACCTTGGAGTGATGTTCTACAAATGATCTAAGTGCCAAAGCCCACTGTAACAACATCACCAAAAAGGCATTAAGGGTTGTAAACCTAATCTTGCGTAGCTTCTTCTCCAGTATTATTACACTACTAACCAGAGCATACAAAACATTTGCTAGACCAATTCTCGAATACAGCCCATCTGTCTGGAACCTGCACTTCATATCGGATGTTAATACAATTGAGCACGTCCAGAAATATTTCACAAGAAGAGTCCTCCACTCCTCTGTTCATAACAAAATACCCTATGCCACCAGACTTGAGATTCTGGGTTTAGAAAATTTAGAACTATGCCGCCTTCGGTATGACCTAAGCATAGCTCATAAAATCATCTGCTACAATGTCCTACCTGTCAAGACTATTTCAGCTTCAACCACAACAATACATGAGCACACAATAGATACAAACTTAAAATGAATTCCTCCAAACTCGACTGCAGAAAATATGACTTCATTAACAGAGTTGTTAATGCCTGGAATGCACTACCAGACTCTATGGTCTCATCCCAAACCCCCCAAAACTTTAACCTAAGACTGTCTACTGTTGACCTCACCCCATTTCTAAGACGTCTGTAAGGGGCGTGCATAAGAGCACCAGCGTGCCTATCATCCCTGTCCTAATGTTCCCTTTAATTGTATTCATTTTATGTATTCAATTCATGCTTATACTATGTACTTGTTATACTTATTATCTAATATGTACTCGACAAAATAAATAAATAAGTAAATAAAAATAAATATCTGGGTCCGGTAACTACAGAAAACTATAATATGGCAGGACAAATGAAATCAGTTCACATCAAAATTGTTAGAAGTAACTGCATAGTAAAACTAGATCTTTACTTCTAGGGTGATCCTGGACCTAGTGGCATCCCAGGCATTCCAGGTCCTACTGGAATTAGAGGCTTCACAGGAGCCCGTGGTCCTGTTGGAGAGAAAGTAAGTGTTCAAGAAGATGGACAGAAAATAATGTGGAACTTAATAGTTATGATAGGTATAGAATAAAATAAAGGTCTATGCTCTACCAGGCTAATTTAATTTAACTGGGTTATTTGGCTGCAACCACCATGGACCTCTAATTGCAACTTGCTTGAAATAAGTAACATAAGGGTGCTGTGTTGTTATGTCTTGGGTAAAAGATTCCATGGATCAATTTCCTTAACTGTTATTGGAAACATCATGCTAGGATAAATGAGCTTTTGGTCTCTTCAACCACAGTGAAGTTCTCCTGTTCCTGCCTACATGTTTGTGATCTAAAAGATACAATAGAAAAGGAGAAAGAGAATAAGAAGAGAACATGAAATGATGGCACCTCCGTGGAAAATCATCTTATTGTGTTTACTTTCTATCACAGGGACCAATTGGGCTGAAAGGAGCAGAAGGGCCCCTTGGTCCAGCAGGCTCCATGGTAAGTAAACTAGTATATTCCCTTAACATCAAAAGGAAGAGCAGACTTTTGTTGCACAATGGAAAGAGAGGATGTGCAAATAATATTCATTATCAGTGAAATGATACTTCACTGCAGCTTACTGCAGCAAGATAGTCTGGGAGTCAAATTCTTGGTAGTGATGTTGCAGCCTGAATTAATTAATAGCGAACATTAACCAAAAGAGAGGTTTGCATTAAAGAGATCAAAGAGATCAAAGAGATGGGGTCCATAGATTTATTCCCTCCTGATAGGGTCCTCCTGGGGAGCGAGGTCCCTCTGGAGCAGCTGGAGGCATTGGACTACCTGGAAGAGGAGGTAATCTTGGACCACCTGGACCTGCAGGGGAGAAAGGAGCACCGGTATGTACAAGGCACCGTCTTGCCATTAATGATCAATTTTAGAAATAGACATTCACAGCTCAACTAATATGCAAGATGATCTTACCCTAAAGAGTGGGTGAACTAGAAGCTTCAATAAAGGAAAGTCATCTAATGAATGCTTATTATAGCCTTCCCCAACTTCCAGAAGTGTTAGCCTACAATTCCTTCTCTGATGGGAATGTATCCCAGCTTGTTGAAAAACATCAGAGAGAATTCTAAGATGAAACCATAAAATGTAGGAGTTGAGTAATAATAAATCCTTAAGTTCTCATTCTTTTACTTCTAATGCAAAGAGATTCTTTGCTCAGATCCATAGGTGGCATCACTTGTGCCATCCTGGGTCTGATTCTATCCATTATAAGATAGTATAAATTCAGCTTTGCAACTGCTTTGGACATTGTGCATAAAACCATGGCTTCCTGTCATTTCATCACTTTATATTTTAATCTTTTTGATTGGGAACAAGACTTTGCATTTCTAAATGTAATATGCAAAATTTTGCACTTAGCCAAGTTTTAATTAAAATCTAAAAGAGTGTCACTGTCAGATTAAAATACTAATAGGAAAAAGAAAAGTGTTGTGGATAAAAATGGATTTAGGGAAGCCAAACAAAGATTGAATAATAGTAATAAAAAGTTTTCAAGATGCTCACTCTTATTATTAAGAAGTAGTATTGTTACGTTAATACTTGCCTTATAAATTGCCAATTGCAGCACTTTAAGAAGCAAACTGTCCATCAGAACAGGATGACACATGAAACATAAGTGGCACTTATACAAGATTTTGTCTGTAATTTCCTAGTATAAATAATGTCAAAGTCAAATTTCAAGATTTGTTAGACTCGAACGTGCTCATTAGGTCACAGGCTGATTCGTAAAAATTGCTACAAGTAAAATTAAAAGGAAGAAAACTTGCCATTATTGGCCGGTGCTGATTATTTATCTTTTATTCCTAACATAAATTGGGACTATTAATTGACTGGTTGCCAGCAACCTAATTTTTATGTAGCTTTGTGGCCGCTTTGAGAATTTTGTATCAGCATCCTCAGTGTGACATAACTCAAATGTAAATTTGTATGTCTATACTTTGTATATAACTTATAATGGATCTTTGAGTGCCAGTATATAGTTAGTTTGAGAATTGAGAATTGAGAATTCTAAAGAAAGTTTATTCCCAAAGTGTGTCTAATTAAGGTATCCATTAAACCACAGCAACCACTTTTCTATGCATAGTGAAAATTCTTTTTCCATAACAGACATCTTTATTTGACCCCGTTCTTATGTTTTCTTTTCCCCAGGGTGATCGAGGACCAATTGGTCCATCTGGTCGTGATGGAATCCCCGGTCCAGTGGGGCTTCCAGGGCCAGCTGGGCCTCCAGGACTTGCTGGAGAAGACGGTGACAAAGTAAGGGATCTGCATTTTGGTGGAAGTAGGAGGTGTACTGGGTCCATTTGATTACATAGACCCATTTTTGTTTCCTTGGCAACACATGGCTTGGCAACAACTTCATTGAGATTTTCCTAGCAATTATTTCTATAGTCTTGCTCAGCCAAGACTTTAGTCAGTGGGAGAAATGTTCCTGATAATAATTGCTGTAATGATGTTTTCTCTATTTTTTTTTTCTGTTCTCTATCTCTTAATGTATGTGTGTATAGGGAGAAATGGGTGGTCCAGGACAGAAGGGAAGCAAGGGCGACAAAGGAGATGCGGTGAGTTTGAAGGAGATTGCTCAAAGGCTTTGGTGAAACTTATAACAATTGCCCTTTAAAACTACTCCCACATTTGCTTGCTATTTCTTTAAGGTTGCACTACCGAGATTTCTTTAAAAGATTGGACGACTAGAAATTCATCACCAGGAACAGAGAACTAAGTGTCACTGTTTCACTTACTTTCTCTTTCAACAGGGTCCCCCAGGACCAACTGGGATCCAGGGTCCTATTGGGCATCCAGGATCTGCTGTGAGTTTTACTTCACCCCAACACTTTTTGCTGAAACAATATGAATTTAAGAAGTTTAGTGGAGGGGAAAAAAAGCCTTCCTCTTAACTGTACTTTCAGTAAATCCAAAATGCCCTAAGATCCCCCCCCCAAAATATTTGTCTTTCTTTCAAGTAAATATATACATCATTTCCCTTCAAACTGTTTCTCTCCTCTATGCACAGTTCAGCTCCTTTCCCTTATCCCTATTTTCTTTAACTATTAAGACGTTCCTTCTCACAGTAATGTTTAAGATCCTTCTTGATTAAAATGCTTTCCATTGTGTCACATTCATCCCAGACTTTTGGCTCACTTAAAGCAAATGAAGAATCGTTGATCTCTAACATTATATTTTGCTATTAGGGAGTAGATGGGGAGCCTGGGCGCCGAGGGCAGCAGGGCATGTTTGGCCAAAAAGGAGATGAAGGAGCCCGCGGTTTGCCAGGTGTCAGTGGCCCACCTGGTTTACAGGTGGGTATGAGACCAACAAACAATCTTTAGAAGGCTACATTAATTTGAATGAAAGCAGCCCGGAAAAAAAACAGGTTTCAATTCATTTTATTTTTCTACCCAGTTAAATCATGTTCTTCCTTTGGGAATTCAAAACAGCTCATACAAGGATCACCCATTTTATCTTCATAACACTAGCATTGTGAAGTAAGCTTGGCTAAGAGATAGTGTCTGTTAACTCACCTAATGAACTCAGTATTTGAGTAGAGACTTGGACCTGGTTTCCCCAATCCCAGACTAATTCTTAATTCATTAGATATTATTCACTGGCTATTTATTTATTTATTTATTTATTTATTTATTTATTTATTTATTTATTTATTTATTTATTTATTTATTTATTTATTTATTTATTTATTTAGTATACCGCCCTTCTCCAACAGGACTCAGGGCAGTGAACAGCCATGGTAAAACATAACATATAAAATTTAAAAACAGTTTAAAAAACATTAAATAATTTTGGTTATCCATTTAAAACAACCCGGATTAAAACCAATTACAAATTAAAACCGAAGGGATGGGATCAAGCCAGCCCGGCTAGGTGAAAAAGATGTGTTTTCAGGGCCTGACGAAAAGTCTGGAGGTCTGGTATCGTGCGTATCTCTGGGGGTAGATCGCTCCAGAGGGCAGGTGCCGCCACAGAGAAGGCTTTCCCCCTGGGGGTCGCCAGCTGACATTGTCTGGCCGACGGCACCCTGAGGAGTCCCTCTCTGTGGGAGCGTACTGGCCAGTGGGAGGCTATTGGCGGCAGAAGGCGGTCTCGTAAATACTATGTTTGCACAACATGTTTAAGCAAATCTGCTAAAGACATAATAGCTACATTTATACAAGACATTAAACTTGAATGATTTACAACTTGGGTAGCTTTGTTTTGGTTTAGTGTTATGCAATCACAGTTATGTTTAGCTGGTTCATTGTACAAATGAGCTATTGAATTAAAAGCCAAACATCCAAACCCATGAAGTTCAAATATTAAAAAAACCTTTGGTTTATGATTCTAGCTGAAACCAATCTTTGGCAAAATTTTGATATGCTAAAATTTGATATTTTGGGAATATCTTGTTTCTCCAAATATTAATTTAAAAAGGATTGACATTTATCATAGTTTGTTGAAGTCTTGAATGCTGCAAACATGTCACGGTAAAAATGAAAACGGTTCATTCGATTATTCAAGATTTTGGTGCAATTACACAATCATGTCATTTTCATGACTATGCCTACATCGAACTCCCTACTAAATCTGAAGTTCATTCACAAATATTTAAAAAAGAAGAAGAGAGGAAAAAATAACCCTACCTAAATTTCAAATATGCTCTTTTAAAGCTGAGCATTGTCCAGAATCAGGAAATGAATGGAATGCTTTCTACTGCTCAACTGTAGTCTGCTATATACATGTGTGTTTCCCTCACAGGGAATGCCAGGGCTCCCAGGTGAAAAGGGCGAAAATGGTGAAACTGGGCTAATGGTAAGAGTCAGTCATTTCCCCTCTGGCTTCACCTTTGACCCTGGGCTTGATTTTATTACCAGGATCACTTATGAATCATTCCCTTTCTATTTTCTCTAGGGCCCACCTGGAGCTCCAGGGGCCCAAGGCCCACAAGGTCCCAGTGGTGGAGATGTGAGCAACATTTTTTTTTTATGTAAAGCAAAGAGGGAGAAGAGTGATTTCAGACACTTTAGTATCCTGGATAACTCAAAACTATATTCCCATCTTCCTCCTGGGGAAGATGGAGACATCATTTGTATAGCAGTATTAGACTGATAGATTTGGGTAATCCTTGAAGATTTTTTTTTTTTAAATTTGATTTATATGCCGCCCTTCTCCGAAGACTCAGGGCGGCTTACAATGTGCTCAGCAATAGCCTTCATCCTTTTGTATATTTATACAAAGCTTATTGCCCCCACAAACTGGGTCCTCATTTCACCTACCTTAGAAAGGATGGAAGGCTGAGTCAACCTTGAGCCTTGGCGAGATTCGAACGCTGCAGTAATTGCAGGCAGCTGGTCTTAAACAGCTTAATAACAGGGTGCCTTAAACCCTTGTACTACCAAGGCTCTGGTACCACACTGAGTTGCGTGAAGTTGCAACACATTATATGAATGAGTAGTGCAAGTGTAGTTGGACTATTGAGAAGACATGCTATAAAGTGTTGCTAGTTGAATATGAAAATATGGCAGATGAGAAAATTCCAAATATCTGTATAGCTCCAATTTACCACACTGAACCATATTCCAGATATGTTCCAAGTCATAGAGCAGCCCATTTATTCATAGTGCTGAGCTCACATCTTCATTTTATATAAAAGCTGTTGTGTAATATATACAGTACATTGCACATTGAGCAATCTCCTAAATGGAAATGATCTGCATCCATTGACTTTATAACAACAGTTTCAAAACAATTACGGTTACGGTGACCACATATTTTTTTTTTCATTTATTGATTGGGTTTTGTGCCGTTACTCATTCTAATAGTTTTAGATGCAATATAATCAGAACCATAAAGCCTGGATGCTCCCAGGGATCCTTGCAGATCGAAAGATAGAATAGAAAATTAAGAAGTAAATTAAACAGGCTAATGGCTATTGAAATAAACCTAGCATATAGATTAAACTGATAGAGACAGAAAAAATTAATACAGTCATAAAACAAATTCAGCCTTCCCTTTATCAATAGAAGCTCCAAGACAGGCCCATGGAAATAGAACAACTGCTAAGCATAGCTTCATGTGTCTCCATGGTGTGCTAATTTGATGGATGAATGGTCCCACCAGGAAAGCATCCCCAAGAGACTTCAATAGCTGTAGCTATTGAGCAGGTAGATAGATGCCTAGGTAATGCAGCATATCAAGTAATCATATGAGAACCCTTGAAAATCAATTTAAGTAAGTGCCTGGGCTCAGCAGCATCCATTAATTTGTAGGGCCTTCTGATATGCATGAAGCTCCCTGCATGCGAAGAGAGAAACATAGTTTGGTGTCAGGAAATGCTTTGGGTATTAAATCACAGAGTCCAAAGATGATAAATGTCAGTGAGTTATACAGTCTGGAGCTGTGGCATAAGGCAAAAGGGGATGAGTTAAAAACAACAAGGCTTCAAATATTAAACATATGTAATATTAGTTGGAGGGAACAGAATGCTCTGAACTGGTTAAGTAATCGGTTTAGCAGTTAACACTCAGGACTGAGTGATTTCTCTGAACTAGTTGTTGTGTATCTTTTTATTTCAGGGCCCACAAGGACAGCGTGGTGGGGTAGGCCAGCCTGGTGCTGTTGGTGAAAAGGTGAGGCCTGAGAGGATATTTCAGGTGAAGGGGTAACCCCTGTGATATATAGATGACTTCACCCAACAGGGTCTAAGGGATGTGAGGTATTTGGTATCAGCATTGGGGGAATTTGGGATTTTTCCTGAAGGGAGGCAGTTGCCATGCAGAAAGAGGGAATCTATGAAGCTAGATTGTGTTTCTAATTCTTTCTATCCAATTTCTATATTAGTTTGTGATCTCTTTTCACTCCCACCTCCCAAAATATGCATGAAAATTGATATGCCTTTCTCATGACAGATGCATTTTAATCCGGTGCATTTTGAAATGCTACTTCCATTCTATCCACATTTTGGGCTGCATTTTTGTTTCAATATATTATCTTTTATTTGGAAATGGCATAGCAATATTTGAAAAAGAGTGTACCATGAAGGAGATTTGTGTTTTAATTCTTATGCTAGCTTAGAAAATGCAAATGAGATAAGTTTGCATAAAAATACAAAGCCAATGAATTAATAGCCTGTCACTATGTGATGGTATTGGAACCAACACCATGGGCCTCAGCATTTTCCTCAGTACATCCACATCTCTGCAAGGGAACAGAAGGTTGTAATTTCCCTGTAAAATTTGCATACAGACTTTTTTCCCTGGCAGCCTAGAATTTAGCTAGCAGCAGATACATGGTGCTTTGAGTTATTCAAGAGGAAACAAATTCAGTGTGGTAACAAATAGAAAGGGAAGAGAGTATGATGGAAGCTGGAAATATCGAGAAATTAGTGTATGTCCATTGTGGACATGTGCTTTGGCTATCAACAGGTAGAGGAAGAATGATAAAGAATATTTAACTTGCAGAACATGTCCATAGATAGGAGGATAACAAAATTCTGCATAATATACATTTGCTTTAGATAAGCATGAAACAAAAGAATGTTGTTTCATATAGGAAATCTAGATCCAATGACTTCTAGGCCCTCCTGGAGTTTCTGGATATATCAGAACCTGAATCTTGTCTCAGGGGACAATTTCTAACTAGAAAAGTCTTCTCTTGATTAGAAACTTTCATTCTCACTCTGTGATTTGGAGAATGTCGAGAATGTATTACAAGTTTTTACATTAAAAAATTAATAGTCTGTATGGCTAATAAAAAATGTTCACTCCAAAGCAAATTGACAAGGATGCCTGTCACCATCTATTTGAACTTCACAGATTCTTCTGTCTACCTTACCTTTATTTTTTATTTT